TATCAAATCTCAGGATGGTTACAGGCTCCTCGGGGAGGCAAGCAGATCTGAGGTCAATTATTGCTTAGTCTGATCAAGTGATAAACAATAATCTAGTCAAGGCGCAAAGAGGGGTTTCGAAGAAACCTCGCAGTTAATAGAGAGTAAAAGTGCTCAGGAGCACTGACTCCACTAGCCTCAACATAATACAATTGGAAAGATTATTTGACTATGACAAAATTATAATACAAGAGACATAAAAGGGGTATAAAATGTCACTTCTATTTATTGCCGGCTTATCAAGTAGCCGCCATATTAGAGTTCATCTAGGCTAACTTTAATCCATTTCAGTGTTTACTATTCAGTAGTTGAAATGCTGAAATAAACCTGAAAAATCTGATACTATTGTTGAAAATGAATAAGTATTAGAAAGGTAAAGGACTCGATAACTATTCAACACTTTACGCCATAGAAGTCTTTTCTCTTTGAGAATGTTTGCATATTTTATTTATTAAATACTGCAACAGAAAAAATAAAACATCCTATTATGGTAATGAAAGATATGACAGAGTTCCTGACGAAAATTTAATGATCATCATTTGCATTTGGTTATTAGTTACATTTAACCACCTTCACACTCTCCATGTTGGTAGAGTGTGATCATGCCTTTCGGCTGTCAGCTGCGATAAAATTAAAAAATAAAATTACAAAAATCTGAGATGAAATTTTTCTAAACACTACTTTATTCTTCGCATATTTTGTGCTGAGCTCAGGGCAAGAATTGGTCAACGAACATGTGCCAGAAGCCAACGATCTCAAAGATCTCAACGATCTCAGCTGCTGGCATTAATGATATGGAAATGTGTGCGCAAGTGCACCCGCATAAAACAATTTTTTCCAATTTTGCAAAGGCAATTGTGTCTCATACCAAAAATGGACACCGAAATTGTTGTCAACTTCAGTTATCTTCAGATGCGTTTCCATGATATGTTTCCATTTTCTCTATTTTTATTGGCACTTTTCATCGCTGCAACAACAGCTCCACGTTGAACTTTTATCTACTAAAATTGGGACAAAAATGTCAATAGTCATGACACTTCAAGCAATTGTGTGATATGTCACAACTTAGAGAAGACAGCAGCCATTTAGGCTCGGCCTAGCATAGTACTGGTTTGGCTTAGCTGGCGAATTCACAATTTACCCAATCGCGGTTCCACTTGATTGGCTCATCAATTTTTATCGTCACTATTTGCATTTTAGCAAAATTGATATTTTAAATTGTGGAATTTTTTATATAACACACGCTCACTCACATACTCACACACTCACACACTCATTCACACACCCATATATTGAATTAGAAATGACATTTAAATATATCATAAGAAGCGTTTGACACTTGAATTGACAGTTACGCCAACCACGGAAGAAATACGACTGCAGTCCTGGTATGTAATAGGCTGCATTCTACTGAGACATTGTCCATTAATGTCATAACTTCACCGAAGATTTTTTCCCTATATTCTTCCATATTTTTCTTTAAGGCGAGTGTGTTGCCATAATCTCCTTTCTATCACAGCGTATTGCTTTATTACCTCTAATATAGTTTTCTTTCAACATTCCCCGTGGGAAATTATCATTTTTTCTAGGCCAACTCGTAGCATTCCTATCCAGGTTTCTTAGAATCAAAGCAGCGTAGAGAGATGATTTAATGCCATCGCAATAACCTAGAGTCAAGCGACAAGATGCAAGTATGATGAAGTTGATCTTCTTTGAAGATTTTAGCTATGTTGGTTCAATCGTTAAACGCTCCACAAATGGTGCAATGAGTAAATTAATTATTAAGTTTTTATGCACTTATGGAGTTCGATGCATTTTAATTTCCAATAAAAAGGCAATTAAGTCGCGTTTTGCACAAACGTAGAGTTTTATTTATGGAGACGGAAGAATAAATTACGGGAACGCCTAATGAGGCGGCTGGACATATAAATGAAGTGTTAATCAACACAAGTAAGAGGAACGGTTTGATTCGTGCTTGGATTGCTAATAAAAACTGATGGTTAAACAGATTTTATATCTAATAATTAACAATAAAATTACAGTTGGACGTAATTTATATTATAAATAAAAATTATACATAAATATAAGTTTTACATATATATTCAATGTAGAGTTAGTATGAAGAAAAGGAGAGTGAAGATAGTTAAGAATGCATCTGTCCTGACTTGGAAGTTTTTATTTTTAGAATCAGGTATTGGCTTCATATAAGTCATTAAAAAAATACTAAATATATTGGTGTAAATATCAACTATGACTTTAACTTAATTATTTTTTAATGTGATAAAATCAGGCTGTCATAATACGGATATCCTGTGGTTAAAGATATTAAAAGTCGCATTTTTTAAACTAATATAGAATAGGTTCTTTAAAATCTTGTTTGAATGTTCAGTCTGTGGTTCCATAGCCAAAAGGTGGTCGGTCACAAATGTTTATTTTGTTGGATTTTTATACGCTGTGTTCAAGTATGTTACATTCATCCTCAAGATGAATGCATTTCATTAAACTGAATTTTAAAATTTTAACCAGGACGACATCATATAACCCAATGTTTACTTTTCCATCTGGTAAGAGAAAGTTGATACGGCCTAGTAGACCTTGTTTGAAGAATATATTTTCAACAAATTGCAGTAAGTGATACGCGAAACATTTGTAAAACTGGAAGATAATTCAATGTTTCGAAGAATATATTAATTTTCAAAGGGTTGAATTTTGATCTAACTCGTATCGTCTACAATGTAGATCGTAATCACTGCAATACACTAGGTTAGATTAGGATACTGTCCGAAAACGCACTTAA